CTTTAATACTAAATATTTTATAGTTTCCACTAAAAGCATTTAAATTAAGAAAAAATGAAAAAATTATATATAACAAAGTTAATTAACAATATTAAACTTAAAATGTTAAAATTTCTTTGAATTTTACAATCATCATCTTAAAACATAATTTATGGAGAAATTTAAGCTTTTCCTTAAGATGAAATTGCTCTTTCAATGACATCTTTTACTAAATCATTATATCTATATTCTAGCATCACATCTTCAAAGATTTTTGTTGCATTATCATTTAATTCATAAAACTTGATAATTAGATCAAATTCACGTAATTTCTAATGAAGGAAGAAGAAATAATGATGAGCAAACATTCAAAATAAGTCCAAAGCAATGTGAGTAATGAAAAGAAAGTCGAAGAGTATGAATCAATGGAGAGAGTTATTAATAAAAAAATTAATTAAGAATACTAAATACAATGTTTTTTTTAAATAATAATAAAAAATAAAGTGAATAGTCAATTCATCAACCCGTGAGTTGACCCGAACTCAACTTGTGACCTATACAAGTTGATTTTATAAGTTATTTACAAGTTGCAATTTAGGATATTTAGACTCTAATCTGTTTTCACAAGTTAGTTTAGGACCGACTTAATGGGTTGGTTGGCTTTTTGCCACCTCTACTATAAGCAAAGAGAAAGATTTTTTATTTGTAAAATTAGTGAATTTATTTGATTTTTAAAAAAAATTCAAACTTTTAAATTAACCAACACAAGCATGAGATAAAATACAAAACTAGACTTAAAGACATAAATGATTTTTTGTAAAATCCTATAAGGAAACTATTTCAATTAGGGGTGGGCACAGTTCCATTTTAATTGTAACTAAAATTGAACTATCGATTAATTATAGTTTCAAGTTTTAAATTTTATTAACTATTAATTAAAACCAAAGAGATAAGTTTTATCGATTTTAGTTATACTTCTGATCAAGAGTAATTATTTGGATCAATTTTGGTTTTAACTAAAAACTTATTTTTATATTTTTAGTGATTCTTTAAATTCTTTAATTATTATTTTATTAATTTCAATCACTAAAAAATTAAAAATTATCTAAATAAATAAATAATGTAGTAAAAAGTGACTAAAAAACCAAAAAAAAAATTTTAATCCATAGAAAATGTTTTTAGTCTAAAATTTTCAATTATATTCAACTCAAACTATTTAAAATTAATTCAATTTGATTTTTAACCAAATAAACCCAAAATAAAATTAAATTCTACCCATCAATTTCAATTTTGTCAAAAAAAATATTTTTTTCAATTACTAAATTTTTTAACCCACCCCTAATTCCAAATTGATCTTGGGACATTTTTACGCTTTCATTGTCCAACTTATCTCAATACTAGCCGGTCCGCCGTCTTTTTGTACGAGCACCAAACAAGTGATGGCACTATGGGCCCCACCTCCTCAACTTTATCAACGACATCACCGACCAAAGATACGATAACTAACCCTACATTGGCTGTCTCCCTTGAAATTTCTCGTCCATTGAAAACAGCGATGTAACAAGTAATAACTCCGATGTCCCCATTACACGCGCAACGGCCACGTGCTGCTCTTTTGAGGCAGGCGGCCGTGATTTGTTTCCCATGGCCTCCCTGTACATTAACATCTTTAACACACTAATATTTTTAATTATTTTTTTTTTTTAAAAAAAAAAAACTCCGATGTCCTGTGCTAATGCATGCGTTTAACCTTTTATTTTATTAAATTTAAAATTTTACATTCTCGTTTTATGTTATAAAGTTTTTATTCTTTGAATTCAAAATTTTGAAAATTTTACCTTTAAACTAATAAAATTGTTAACTTTTCATTAAAGTAAAA